ATATAATATATATATGTATGTATGTATGTACAGGGGAGTTGGTATAATGCCCTATAATTAGCTGCAAATTCATATTCGGAAACAGGAGGAATAATTGATCTTACCTACATTCGCTGTTTTATTTCAAGCAAAACAGGATTGAAAAACAGCATTTTAATTTGGCCAAAAGGTAAAGTGGCTCAGTTTTATCTCCTTTCCGGTAGTACAGGTATGCATTCTGGCTAAGTAGCTTTCTGCCACAAAGGACAGTTGGTCATTTCTATTAATGCTTCTCAGTGAGTTGCAGTCTCCTTTATATCATTGTTTACTGTATCTTCATATTTTTAGCATACTATTTTAGATTTTAGTAAATGTAAAATCTCTTATTTTACTGTTTGGGATCACAAGCATTCTAGTAAACACTAGAGATAACAATAACTTTCACTGTTGAAGTTAGGGAAGCATTTATATGTGTTCTCTTTTATAGAAAAACTTAACTATTTCAAAAATTACTTTGCCTTTTGTGTAATATGGAATCTCCTATGACAGAGTTAAGTATCAAAAAAGGAAGAAGAAATAATTTTATTTTTGTAAGCTACTGGTTGGCCTTGGATCTTAAATGACCACCAAATTCTTATACTAAGTAAAATCTTGATTTGTAGCCTGTGGTGTTTTTTGGGAGGTGGTAGAACCAATAAGAGGTAGGGCCTAGAGAAAGGAAGTTAGGTCCCTAGGAGTATGCCTTTGAAGGAGATATTTCAAACCCTCTCCCTTTTTCTTGTATACTGGCCACCACATATTCTAAAGACCCACTATGACAGGGCTGAGCAGTCCATGGGGCCTGAAACGACCCAAAATAAACTTTCCTTTTGGGTGTTTTATGTTTTGGGTTTTTCTTTCAGGAAGGGTCTCCCTTTGTACGTCAGGCTGGCTCTGAACTCACTGTGTGGCCCAGGCTGGCCTCAAACTCTTGGAGAGCCTCCTGCCTCAGCCTCCCAAGTACTGATATTACAGGCATACACCACCACACCCATCTCTAAACTTTTACATTGTTACAGATGGCAAGCTGACCACTTAATTTGGAACAAAGCAGAAAGGCTTTAACAAATGTAAAATACCTCATTCAAGTGACAAATAGAAATTATTCAATTAAAATTCACCTATTAACATTTATTGTGTATGTATAGCTTTTGTATCAAATGCGATGAGCTTCACAAATTATGATCTGCTGTGTAGTATCTAAGTATAATTGTAAGTAAAGGTCAGAAGGTAGAAAAACTTGTCTTGTTCTCTTCAGTGATTCTGTCCTGCTACAAACATCTGCATATCTCAACATGGGATGAGGTCCTGATACCCCCTCCCTTTTGTAATGGAGATCAAACTCAGGACCTTGCACCTGCGAGGCAGGTGGCTAAACCACAGCTAAAGCCCCAGCCCCTAATAACCCCATTTTAAACACAAAGTTTTAAGTTGAAGATGTATTTAATACAACTAATGTACCAACCGTTATCTCTTAGCCTAGCTTGCTTTAAGTTATACTCAGAATACTTAGCCTATACTTGGACAGTTATCTAACAGACCGTAATTGTGTTGAAATCTCATGGAATTCACTGAATACCTGTATCCAAATGATGCTGACAAAAGCACACTGGTCTTACTATTTGTTTAGCCTTATGGTCATGCACTGACTAGGAGTTGCAAATCTGCCACTGCCCAGAATTAGAATATCACTAGCCCAGGAAGAGATTAAAATTCAAAGTATAGTTCCTACTGAGTGCAAATTGCTTCTCACCACTGTAAAGTTGGAGAGTTGTAAGTCAGACCATCTTATGGCCCATCTTTGAATAATGGTTGAAATTGAGAAAAGTTTTAGTGACTGGCCTGTGTCATTACTGACATTCAGTTCACCTACTGAAACTATTAGGCAAAATGACTAACGGGCCAATGAAAGTGTTATAAAAGGAACAAAAGGCTGCTACAGTAGCATGTGCTGTTGAAAAGTAGGACAGTGAAATTTAAATCCCAAACCTAGATCTGACTCCTGAGCTCTCGGACTTCTTTTCCCTTCTCTATACATCTACTTCCCTTTCATTCTTTTCTGTCTTACATTCTGTAAACTTTTGAGAGCCTGCTTGCTGTAAGCATGGCTTTTGTATATAAAAATGCCAGGTACTGCATGCATATCCAGGATGTTCCACGGGCCCTCAAACTCATCACATGGAAATGTGAACTCATTTTTCCCCAAAACCAACTTGTCCTAATGACCATAAAGAGCACCCACCCATAGAAATGTCAGATTATTGTCATTCTACTCTTCTATATCCCTTAGTTTGTCAAGGCCCATCAGTTTGGCCTCCCATAAAACAGCCCCATATTGGTTGTATATTCAGCCTTCTCCCAAATGACCTCCCTAGTTTCAGCCCTCCTCATTTTCTTAGAACTGAGTGGCTCTTACAGCCCTTGAACTGGACTTCTTGGGCTCTGGTCTTAGGCTGTTCCATGATCTCCACTAGAGCCAGAGGGATGATACAGATCACACATCTAATCACTGCTTCCTGGTCAAAAACTAGTAGTTTCTTTCCTAAGGGCTTTAAAGTCCGCACTTCTCAGTATTATAAGATCCTGAAGATATTCAGATCACACATCTAATCACTGCTTCCTGGTCAAAAACTAGTAGTTTCTTTCCTAAGGGCTTTAGAGTAAAGTCCGCACTTCTCAGTATTATAAGATCCTGAAGATACCATCCTTTCCAAGCCCTTTCTGCACCCCCAGTCCTTTTATTCTGAATCAAGGTCTCACAAAGCTAAATTGCTCAGATTGGACTCAAGCTCGCAAGCTTCCTGCCTTTCAGAGTCCCAGGGTTACAAACTTGTACCACCATGGCCAGCTTCATTCCTCTTAAAGGTGCTTAACCACTAGTTAAGTTCCTAAAGCTTATTTTTAACAAGTAGGCTTCCAAATGGCTCATTTGTTACTCAGATCCAGAGTCAGGGTTTTTAAAATCAAATTTGGGAAACCTTTAATGAATAAGCAACACCAGAGCTGGCTGTCTGGAAATGATGTAGGTATAGGCACATGTGCTTTTCAGCAGTAGGATTGTTTACCTCTACTTTTTCTAAAAATTAACTTCTATTACAAAGAGCTCATAAAAACAAACTTCAAACATTACAACTATATACAGAAAAAAGGCCACTCTTCAATGAGCACTGCTCTGAAGTAACCACTGCTAATCACGTCTCTCCAGAAGTCTATGCACACAGTCACAATAATAATGTGTTATCACTAGTGTAACTATCAGCTTTATTTCATAAAAGTAGTCTTATTAAAATATTAATTTGTCCACCCTGACTTTTTTCATACAATCTTAGATATTTTTCAATAGCAGTTTATATATATCTTATTCTTTTAAGGTCTACATTGTATTCAACTATGTGCTCTGTTACACTTTCTTCAAACAGATCATCACTGATAGACAACTAGGTCATTTCCAGTTTGACAATGCTGCAACTGCTATTCATTTTATGATGATAAATGCTAATCTTCCTAAATGTGAGAATTGCAAAATGCTAGAATATTTTTAAGTAAATATGCAGCACAACCAAGTGCGATTCATTTCAGGAATGTAAGAAGAGTTGAATATTAGAAAATATTTTAATATATTAGTAAACCAAATGAGAAAAACTTCCATAGATTATTAACAAATAACGAAAAAAAATTTTTTTGCACTGAGGATCAAACTCGGGTTCTTGCTCTTGCAAGGCAGGCAGCGGAACCACTGAGCTAAATCCTTGGCTCATAGGGATATTTTTTTATGTGACAAAATATATGTTTGTGTGTGTGCGTGCATGGTCACACCAACCTCCAAACCCAGCCACATACTTATCGAGAAAGCATTTCTTTAAGGACTAGAAGAAAAGTCCACTATTAACATAATGAAAAATTATTAAATATTTTCTGGACATACTAGCTGATGCTTTTAAAGAGAAATTATATGAGGCATTAAACTAGGAGAAAAAGCCATCATAATTTGTGAGTAATATATTTCCAGAAAACAAAATTAATCAACTAAAAAACTACTTTTCCACTTTTAAAATTGATATGTAACTCCTACAAAACTCTGGAGGCTCTGGAGGTTGAGGGGAGCAGATCACAAGTTAGAAGGAAGCATGGGCAAATATCACACTATTTCTAGAATATTTTTATGATCTCTGAAAGAAACGTCATAATTGCCGGGGATTTGGCTCAGTGGTTCTGCCATCTGCCTTGAAAGCGCAAGGGCTCGAGTTTGATCCCCAGTAACAAAGGACAAAAAAGAAAAAAGCCTCATACTCATTAGCAATTACTTCATATTCCTCTCATCCCCACCCTTTACAAGTAATAATTTACTGTCTCTATGGACTTGCCTAATATGGACATTTCATATAAATGGAATTATACAATACATGACCACATTTATGACAGGCTTCTTTGACTTTAGGATAATATTTTCAAAGTTTTTTCATGTTGTAACATGAATCAATACTTCTATTCTTTTCAATTGCTGAATAATATTCCATCAAATAGATATACTATATTTTATCAGTTGACAGGCATTTGGGTTTTATCTACAGCTCATCACAAAAAATAATGCTGCTATGGATATTCTTATACACTTTTTTGTATAGACATTTTAAAATTTGTATTGTTTTGGGTTT